CTATTTTGTACACTTGTATACAATTCGCACTTAAAATGAGAAGAACGTTATATTCAGGCGTTGGAAGAGAAAAAAGAACTAAAGAGTGTACAATGCGATGCAACGCGAACTTTTGCAAATGCGAACTAACCTAAAAGCGTAATATTTGACTTTAAAGTACACAAAGATATTAAATCACAAGATAAAGCACAATCAATTTTTCCTTGGGAAAAAAATCGTGCACTTACCGGTTTCTTTTCATTATCCATTTTTCACTGTTTTATAGCAGCACACACGAGACACAAGACAGCACAGCACGTGAACACGTGAATAGGTTACGGCAGCGCTCGGAATTAGTTGCACATTTCGGGCCGATTTCCGAGACGACGCCTCCTGTTCCCCCACTACCGCCCGGCCGCTGGAGCCCGAGCCGCCGATAGCTCTGGCTCAGGAGCGTTTTATATTAGAAATAGGCTGGATTGTTTAGGCATCTTTCAGGAAATCGTAACATTTTCTTCATTACATAAATAATGTTTATTTTTATTAATACATAATATATATATTTAATTATTAATGAAAATAAACATTATTTATGTAATAAAGAAAATATTACTATTTTCTGAAAGGTACCTCAACAAAAACCCAGCTTATTTCTTATATAAAACGCTCCTGCGCCAGAGCTATCGGCGGCTCGGCCGCCAGCAGCCGGGCGGTAGTGGGGGAACAGGAGGCGTCGTCTCGGAAATCGGCTCGAAATGTGCAACTAATTCCGAGCGCTGATCTAGTTAATTACGGCATAGTAGTTTCCGATCGATGACCCTTACAATTAAATATTAAATCAACTTGTGCATTCATTATATTTGCATTTAAATTAATATTTGCTGTAAGAATTGGCCGGTAAAGCTGAAGATATAACGATTTCTTGCGTTATAAACAATAATATAGTTTTAAATTAAAAAAGGAGTTTTAAACATTATTTTAAAATCAATATTTTTTTTGTATGTGTGCGATACTTACAGAAAACGTAGAACCTTCAGGAAAAACGACGTAGCGTCGTTTTCTCGAAAGAATCGTTTGGTACTTATCATCCGCTTCGTACTCCGACAATACCAGGCAGAACGCTAAAAACATCAGATACTTGGCGCTGTAATCCATTGTTACTCTGTAAAAAGTATACTTTGCTGTTGATCAGCAACTAACATAAGAGGTAAAATAGTGCGTTTTTCTTAAACGTGTAACAAGCGAGCGCTGCGATAATATTCAGCGATATTTTTCTGCAGAAAAGCGAAGAACGCAATAGTTTTTGCGATATTACAATTGAAAATCAATGTCAGGATTAAAATTGTTATTGTAAATGAACTCGATGGAGTTTATTGCCAATTCTTTTTGATTTGCGTATTAAGTCCAACTTATTCCAAATTAAATATTACACGTTAACAGTTCTTCGCAACTTTTGTACTTTCTAGGAGTTTCTATTCCTACTTAACTTTGTCGGCTAGATTAGTTGATTTCTGAGATGTTTAGTATATTTTTCTTTACGTCTTTCATTTATTATACACTGAGAAAAAAATGTACTAAATTTTAATAAATATTTATTTGAATAGTACTAATAACATATTTACTAAATGTAAATATATATTTATTTAGTACAAGAACCAGTAATTTAATTTAAGTATTTTTTTTATTTTTGAGTAAATATTTATTCACCGTAAATAAATATGTTATTAGTACTATTCAAATAAATATTTATTAAAATTTAGTACATTTTTCTCTCAGTGTACAATTACGCGGCACAAACATCCAGTTAAAATTAAACAGAATTATATAAAACAATTTGCGTAATCTTTGATTGTTGTTAATGTCAATTGTCATGAAAGTCACAGCATTGTTTGTTCTGACAAAATGTTGGCAGTAATTTTTTATCTGAGCTTGTCGTTTCCGGGATTAAACGTGATGGCCTTTGAAGCGAGTGTGCTAGCGCGTGGCTATTTGTATACATTGTGATGCACAGCTAAAGCGCGTCTTTCTCTTTCTCTCTCTCTCTCTCTCTCTCTCTCTCTCTCTCTCGCCGTTTTAAATAGCCAAACGGTATCTCGTTAATCCGGGTTTGAAAATCCGCGTCAACCGAACTACTAATTTCGTCACGTCAATGAGGCGCTTTGAAGCGAGAGCAAATTATGTCATTGTCATCGCGCAGCGCGAAATAGAAAGAGCGAGCGCGGGAGATGAAGTTGCGGGAAGCGCGGATGGAATGGCGGAAGGAGGAGGGGCAAAACTTCTTCCAGCGTGAACTTGTAAAGGAATTACCTAACTTTCCGGAGAGCAAATCTCGGTATAATCCGTTGAAAAATTGTTCGACGACTTTCCTGAAATAAAAGCAGCCCATGAGCGACGTCGGTAATGCGGTCTTTTTGCGATCGCGGAGGAGCGAACTGCCGTAAACCACCAGGGCTCGTGATTCGAGCCGGTGACTCCGATAGGTGGGAGGATTAGACAGGAAGTTGGAATTGTACGAGGAAATAATCTTGGGATAAATAATCCGGTCGGCTACGCTTCAATGGCTGGATTTATCGCGAGTTCGCAGATATTTAAGAGCGCGGAGCTCTAACCGGTACGGATTTTGCATCAGTTCGGAATTAAATATCAAATCCAGTATGCAAAAAAACATTTTTTTTTTGCCAATGTCAACTTAAGATTTTAGTATCAAAATATTAAAGATAAAATTGTGGAAAATGCTCATCGAGACAATATTGACTCCAAATTCTTGAAAAATTCTACAGTTGAAACATATTTTCGCGTACATGTTTTAAAATAGATGAAGGATTAATTTTTTATTTTGCAACGGTAGGGCACTAGTGATTGCCATTCTTCTTCAACGTTAACCCGGAAAACTTCTGAATTGCTAGCATTAGTTTCTTTCCTGGCAAGGGAATACGTGTGCACGCGCCGCAAGACGTTACAGTCACGGTGTACATGTACACGGAGGAGAATTGTACATTCTCACGTGATTATACATCGATCACCGTCCTTGCGTTTCCGGCCACGAATCCCATAGATCCTGGGTGAGGTTACCCGCTCTACTCCCTTCGCGTTTGAGGGAATTTCGCTCACCCGACAGCGACAGACAGGATATTGTCGCATTTCTCTTAAAACTTGGCTCTGCAACTTTTCGTCTTACCGAAGCCAATGCCGACTTTCGAAACACGGTTGAATTAAAATAAGGAGTTGAATAAAAAGCAATAAAAAAGTTACAATTTTTATCATGCATAAAAATAAGAATCTTTTGCAGTTAAAAATTTTTAATTGCAACTTTTTTCGAAATACACAAACGTAAAACAAGTTTTGGAAGTTATGCAATAATTTCACAGTGCTTTTAGTGCATAACTTTGAAATAAGTACATATACTGCACAATTTATTACTCTATCTTTGTAGCCTGTGCATGTCATTTGTTTAGTCAGCAAACATTACAACTTCCTATTTTAGGGGAAGGGAAGAGGGATTCTCGTCAATCTAACTCGATCTTATTACTTCGGCGCAGATGTAATCAGCGCCAAACGTTGCTCGCTCGAGTTGCAAACCTCCTTCAGCAGCCAATTAATTGCAACGGTACGAGATTATTAATGTACTCCGGTCGCCGGCGTAGCGTAGAATACCGTGAAATTTGTTATGCAGGAAAGTCGATAAGCTGAGGTAACCATTTATGCACATTTAAAATCTTGGTTCGTTAAGATCAGTTAATGAATGCGGTAATATGTAATTTACTTTTAATAGATTTTTTTTAAATAAAATGTAATTATATATATATGTTATATGACATTAATGTTATAAAATGCATTATTAAAATTCCGAGGTAAATAAATTGAGGCAAAATGATTGACGTATCGCAATTTTAGACAAAGTTCATATTTTTAATCTATTATTTACATAACTTTCACAATCAGTAAACCTATCTGAGCAAACTTGCTTCAAACTATTCAAAGAATACGAGGGATGCCGTCTGCTTCTACAGATTGAGATCCGTCGACTCCCCGCAATAACGAATATCCATTTGATGAAAACCAATATTTATTGGTTTCCCACAGCATTCAATTTTTATTCATGCATTTCCTAAAAATTTTTTTTTAAAAACATATTTCACACGAAATGTTTTTCTTCGTCTGACAGCGAAAAGCTTAACTCGACGAAAAAAAATCGTACAGACTTTCAAAAAATCAGTTTTGAAGGTCAAAGTTGGCACTTTAAGAAGGCGTAAACGGAAGTAAAAAAAATTTATTTAACCTGCGAAAACAATCATAAATATACCAAAAACGTCATTTTTGATCCTTTTAATCTCATTTTTCTCAAAAACCTGACGTGATGGAGCAATTTCGTTGCCGAATTCGGATTCAGCGCACAAAATTACGTAGAAAATGACTTTTTTTTCCAGAATGCAGAACCGTGTAGGCTTGTGTTATCCGTTAAATTATCATTAAATATCCATAAACAATAATTTTGATACTTGATTTACTGCCTATTAGATACACATAGAGAATTCAGTGGTTTTACGCCTATTTTTTTACTTTCTCAATAAATAAAGTGTAATTATTTTTTCTACAAATATTACAGTATTTTATGCCGATAACTGGAGTAACTATATATTGTAATGTTTTATTTATTGTTATATGATAATCAGTTTGTGCAATGTTACGCGTTTTATAAATTTATTGTATATTTTAACTTTTACTAACAATCCGAGCGCAATATTAAAGTTTGTTACACGACGCATATACGCAATTATTTAAAGAGCACGTATAAGACAAAGTAATTTGTGCAAAATTGGTTAAATATTTTTCAATTTACATATTATTTAAATAGATCAAAGATGAAACACTAGTTGTCAAACATTTCTTCTTGATTAAAAAAGATTGAATTTAAAACTGATTGTAATCGAACGACTACCGCATCCAATCAAATTTGTTTGGGATGTAATGAAGAGAATCGCCTAGATTCGATGATGCTAGCTAGATGCATGCTAGATCGAATCTGACCGATTAGTTTTCATGAAATGGGTATCCGTTATTATATTAGTGGAAAGTCAACGGATCTCAATCTGTAGAAACAGACTGCATCCTTCTTATGCATATTCTTTGAATAGCTTGAAACGAGCTTGCTCAAATATGCTCGCTGATTATGTTGAGTTACGTAGATAATTGATTGGAAATATTAACTTAATCTAAAATTGCAATATGTCAATCATTTTGCCTTAACTTATCATAATTTTAATAACGTATTTTATTAACAGTTCTATTATAAAATGAAGACGCTCACATGACAGAGATAGTATGCGAGTCAGCGCTTCAATGCATTGCTAATTCTACACTCAGTCGTCGCATAACACTATTCACCCTCGAATGCTTATATTCGCAATGTCTTGATTTTTAATTTTTTTTTGGCAATTTTTCATCGTGAACCTGTTTTCAGGCTTAGTTTTTTCTTCATTTTCGCTTCTTATTTTATCCCTGCCGCCGGCATTGGTGGTTCGAGTTTCTCGACGTCTTCTCCTCGCTGTTGAACAGATTGGTAGACACTTTGTCGCTCATAGAACTGTCGATTACGATCTGCAGTTTATTCTCTACGATAATGTTTTTTTCGTCACTTTCGAGGGGATTCAGATCTTCTGGATAATTTTTGCTATTGCTTAAATCGATAGCTTTTGCGGTTAGTACACTGCTTCCATAACAAATTTCTACCATTTTTCTTCTTCTTTCTGTTTGTTCTTGATCTTCGCAAAGCTCTCTTTTTGTCTTTATATTTCTGACTTGCGAGATTTTCTCGAGCTGCATGTCATCGAGATGTTCTTCGTTACTCGTATGTATCACGTTCCATGTACTTTGCATCTTTCGAAGGAATTCGTTTTTTTTCTGTCGTTTGTCAATGTCCTCACAGCTGTTTTTACGTTTCTTAGTGCTTTTGATTATTAAGTCTTGCTCACGTTTCTTTTCCGAACATTTTTTTTTCACTGTACTCTCTTGCTCTGATATCACCTTTCTTTTGGTATAATTTTTTGTTTTAAATCGCAAATATTTGGAGCGTCTTCTGAATCAAAGACAATTTTGTTTCAAGATTGACTCGGCCATCAGCATATTATAGCGATTCTTTGTATCTTAATTCTTATTTGTCTTATAATTAAAGTATAAAATGACAGTTAACTGTTGATTTTCATTATTCTTAATATCTAAGCTTCTTAACATATCGCACTCCCGTAAGAACATTTCACAAGTGACACAAGTCGAAATTTTTCGAATTTCGTATTATGTGCTATTATGATTGTATTCTAAATACATCGGCCTTCAATCAAGAAAAGTGACGGAACAATTTTATTATTAATTTTATTTTTATTTTATTTTATTAATTTTTTTATTTTTGATTTGTGTCACTTTTTTTGCGGTGTGATATTATGTACATCATATCGCTCGACATTTGATCCTTCTATTAATAAAACAGAATCAACAGAACAAAGTTATTTAATTGTGCAATGATAATTAATGTATTAATGGTACATATTCGACGATCTCTGGTTATTTATCTTGTATTTTTCAAACTAGCAATAATCATCGCGGTTTTAAGTTAATCGGTTCTTCATCTTTTAACTCTTCAGTTGTAAACAATTTTTAAAAATTTTCTATTCCAAAATAAACGTGGGTAAATTTTATTTTTTAGTTAAAATAGGTAAAAAGTTGGCAAAACGTTCAGCGTTTAACGGTATTAAGAAAGTCTTTTTCTATTTGCAATCTATATTTCGACAATTATCTAAGACAATGTGAGTGATTTTTAAATAGGAATTTTCGTCAACGGTCAAGTTTGCGCGAAACTGTCCGATTATAATGCCTTGTTCTTTATCTATTCCTTGAATCAGTGTCTATTTACGCACGAAATACGGTGATTCTATTCTAATAAATTTGTCCGTTCGCATAATATTAGGTCTATGCATAAGTTCGTACGGTTGAGTTGGCGGGTCAATAATCTTAAAAATTTGGCATGCGCTTTTCCTTGTGGTTTTTGCATGACTCAGACGACATCCTGCGCCACGTGGGATTAATTTTTTAGTTTGTTCTTTCGTTGTTTTGCCCTCCTTTTGAGATGAACCCCGACAAAATCCATCTTCGCCCATGTATGCTTCTTTTCTTTGACCAAAAAGAGACAGCAGCAGAAACCAAAAAAATTTTGTGCGACACAATGAGGAAGTTGTGTCTGTAAGCATGTGTGAAACGTGGTACAGGCGTTTTCGATGTAGTGATTTCGATGTTGACTATCGACCGAGGTTAGGTTGTTCCAAGAAAACTGACAATGGAGAGCTGCAGGTCCTGCTTGACGAAAACTTAACTTACAGATTGTTACAGTGTGCAGCTTAAAAAGTTGGTCCAAGTTTTGCGGGAAAAGTAGCCAAAACATGCGCCAAACCAACGGCAGCTCATCTTCCTGTACGACAACACACAGCCCCATATCGCAGCAGCGACAAAAAAACTCATTCTGGAGCTGGGCTGGGAAGTCTTACCGCACCCGGCGTACTCACCAGACATTGCCTTTTCGGATTATCACCTGCTCAATGCAACATGGCTTGTCTGGTGAGCACTTTACTAATCTCACCGATGTGCAAAAATGAGTTGATAATTTCTTCGCCTTAAAGTCAGTGATTTTCTACCATCCATTTGCTGTCGTTGGCAGAAAGTTGTCGAAAGCGGTGAACAATATTTTGAATAAAAAATGTTGTTGAAGCCTATTTTTACATGAGTTTGAATTTGACCAAAAAACGAGGGTTATTTGAAAAATTTGCAACCTGATAATAAAAAAACTGTATTTTTCTTTTTAAAATTATTTCTATTTCTTCAATATAATCTGAACTTTAACACTTTTGTCTAGAGATGCTCTCATGCTTTTCCAGTCTTTCAGCCTGAATTTTTTGTTTTAGTTTGTCTAAAAAATTAATATAATACTCTCCCATTATTATTAGATTCTTTGGAAAATAATCAATCAGGAATACATCCCAATATGTACATCCCAGTACATACATCCTGTAGCAGAAAATTGAAGCAATAACCTTGGGAAGCAAAACTGACTTTAGCTTTTTCGATAGCAAAGAATTACTATGTTTCCATTATTTTGATTGCTGTCTTGTTTCTATCCATCTTACAACAACAGCTTTTTCATATTTAATTCCTCGACTAGAATATGAAATGCCAGTTCATCTGCCAACAGCCTCTACAACTGAAGAAACCTTTCATCGGCGATCTTCCAAAACAAGATCATGCTTTATTCATGATTTCCGATGTCGTACCACTTTTTGAACATCTACTGCAAGTCATCTTCCAAACTTATACAACGATTAAATTCTAAAGCGCATTTTTGTATAGTTGAAAAAAATTCATTCAACATACTTTTTATCTCGTTAAAAATTCCCGTTGGCGTTAAACCGTTTTTAACAAAAAAAAACTTTATCGCTGCACAATGTTCAATTTTTTCCAAAAATATATCACTGTGATACTCCAGTTTGAGAATTTTTCAAATGATTTTTGTATATTGATAGCAACTAGTTTGCTACAAACAAATTATCTAGTATAATAAAATGAATAAATTCCATATGTATTTCCACTATTATAATCGAAATGCATAATAAAAGCGCTTACATAACAGAGAAAATACGTGAATTATATATATATATATAATGCCTCAACGCATCGCTAATTCTGCAGTAATTTATGCAAAATTAGCTAAATATTTTTCAAATTACATATTATTGATAATAAATAGACCAAAGATGAAACACTAGTGCCCAACATTTTTTCTTGAATAGAAAAGAATTTATCGAATTCAAAATTGAATGTGATCGAACGACTACGACATTCAATCAAAATTATTTCTGATATGCTGAAGAGAATCGATTAGATTCAATGATACTAGCAAATCCAATCTGATCGATTATACAAGTCTGCGTGGTTCTGCATTCTGGAAAAGAAAAGTTATTTCCTACGTAATTTTGTGCGCTGAATCCGAATCCGGCGATTTTTTTTTGAAAAACATTTTTCACGAAATGTTCTTCGCTTGACAACGAAGAGCTTAACTCGACGAAAAAAAATCATACGGAGTTTAAAAAAATCAGTTTGAAGGTCAAAGTCGGCACTTTAAGAAGGCGTAAACAAAAGTAAAAAAAAATTTACTTAACCTGCGAAAAAATCATAAATATGCTAAAAAATGTCATTTTTTACTTTTTTAACCACACTTTTCTCAAAAATCTGATGTGATAAAGCAAATTCGTTGCCGGATTCGGATTCAGCGCACAAAATTACGTAGGAAACGACTTTTTTCCAGAATGCAAAAAAAATTAAAATGTTGCAGGTCTATGTAATTAATTATTCCGAGCACATTCCAGGCTTATCTTGATTGTATAATCAATCCCAAATATTTGGAAGCATTTAAAAGTATAATATTTGTTGAATGATTTCTATTATTTTATCTATGGGAGAGACAGAAATATCTAAAATGATGTACAATATTCACAAATCCTGGGGATATCACTGATATAATCTTCTTTAGTAGGAAATTGCCTCAGAAAATTGTTCGATCGCGTGGGAGTGCACAGAACAAGGAGTGGCCAAGTATTTTTATGTAACGGCGAGATGGCTAGAACTTTTCCTGCGTAGGACGAGAGACCGATCTCTCGCCCTAAATATATCTCGTAATTCACTTCGGTAAGCTTTTTAGGAAGTAAGAAATTAGCTTATCATGGAAATATGACGCCAAGGGAAATGATCGATTGGTGACAGCGATACTATGAAATATAATACATAGTGTGCGTGATACATAATGTCGTGTCAGTTTTTTTTTTCGACTAGCAAGATTTTTTTTATAACTGATCAAGTATTTGTTAATTTGTATACAATTTTCGATTGAAATATTAACGCAAAATATTATTGGTGAAACAATAATATTAATGTCAATATATTGTTCTTAAGCACGCGAATTCGTTAATAATAATCTATTGAAGCATTAGCGCGCGGCTCATTATCTCGTAAATAGATTATGATTAATTAGTTTATTGAACAGTTTGCTAGCTGAATTTGATTTGCCGGAGTCAAAGAATATCTTTATGTAAAATTAACTGAGTACATTAACACGAAAACTACATAAAAGCAAAGTTGTATCGTTTGATCTCTCGTGTGACATGAGATGAGTAATCGGCTAAAGGCTTCTTCATATTATCGACATTTCTGACAAACTTTCTTTTTTATTATTATTCACCTGCCTTCTCTCTTTCTCTCTTTCTTTCTTTTTCTCTCTCTCTTTCTCTCTCTTTTCTCCTTTCTGTGTGACTGCATTGAATATTGAAAATGTCACTTTTTTACTTGTTTCGCTTTCATCGTTAGAGCAAAATAGTATTATGTCATCTTGTTTTTATCAAATCGGTAAATCGATAAATCGGTAAATAAATAAAGGTTTTAGCAAATATAAGAAATTGAGGATGATTGAGTCATTCTTTATTTAATTCAATCGTGTATTTCAACTATAAAATATACGATCAACTGTTTCTGGTTTTTTTTTCCGATCACTCATCAACTGTGTGCAAATATTTAAAAAAATTCCACAAATAACTCGCGCGTTAAATATCAGCATGTAAATTCACGCGGTTCCCATAAGCCCCATTCGATCATACGTTTCCATCATACGCGAGTTCGATCGCCGGCCGACACGCTGCGCGCTCTCCAAGCAATTATTCCGCCCAATCTCCGGAATCTCCGTGTCCGCGAATGCAAACGAAAATGAAATGGGAAGTTGGAGCTGTTTTATTTCGTACCGGCCGGTGATCGAATCAAGCGCGAGCGGATATCCTCGAGCTCACCTGCCTCACTTATTTGGTTCTCCTGCGGTCGCTCCACGAGAGCTGCCTGGTGAATGATCTCCCGACTCGGCTGGAACGACCGTTATTATTGCAGTTAGGCGAGCGCGGGAGCATTGTCGAATTCATTAACGTCCAACCGCGTGCTCGGATCTCCGTTCCTCGGCTTTATTTAGCGAACGATTAACGGCTCAAGAGCCGAACAGCCGGACACGTTACTGGGTGTGAGCGTAAAATACTGCCGCCACTATTAGTGCGATTAACGTTTCCGACTGCATTGTGTGTGTGCGTCGAGTGCCTCTTTTCTGTGTGCACACGTTCATGCTTTAGCGTATCCCGTGGTTGCATCTATAATTTGAAAGCATTTATCATCGTTGCAATAGGATTTTTGTCGATTATTATCGTATATTTCTACTGATTTTTAGAAATTAACTATGTAGCAAATCATGAACGTATCGTTAAATAGAAAATGGAATTCTTGTCTAAAAACAAAAATTATTTAGTTAGAAACATCACTTTTAGATAAGTGTCAAAATTAAATTGAAAAAATATATTGAAAGTGTAATATAGCCAAAATTTTAGATACAAATAATGCGAAATATTGTGAAAACTGTTTTCAATTAGACATTTTTAAAAAATGGTTGAGATAGAAATTTGGCCAAAATTTATTTTTTACATTTAGATTTATCAAGTTAATGTTGCCAAATTTAGCTATCGATAAATGACAGTTATATGTAATTTGCACTTGTCAATTATACCGCAGAAGCATATGGAATTGTCAGATTAATTGAACGGTGAATACTGAAATAGAAGCTTGTTTATCTACGAGGGAAAAGTTATAAATTCAACGCAAATTGCCAGTGGTAACACGCATTTGAAATGATAATAAGGCCAGTGGTAAAAGCAGATCGAGATGATAATATCGAATATGAAACCAATTCCATTATTTTATATGTATGAGTAGCCTAATAATATCAAGCAACATTCACTTAATTACTCCCATGTAATACTGAATGTATCTCACATACAATACGATTCGAGATTTTCAATTGAAATGTTCGTATAGCGGAAATTGTGGCTTATTCCCCACCGCAGGAGATAATAGATTCCAGAAATTTATACATTTTGGAAATTTTAGTTTCTAATAACGATTTATCTTATAATGATTATTAACGATTATCTTTGATAGGTGTCGAATCAAAATTAAGTACATAAAAATGTGCTTGGATTAAACTTGTTTTTCTGCTTGTTTTATTTTTTTTTATTTTTTTTTATTATATTGTAAATAATTCTCTTTCGAAACATATGGTTTAAATGCATTTATTCACACAACAATGTTAGAAATATCACAGTTTTTTCACATATGAAAAACCGGGTTAATCACATATGTGATTTTTTAATAAATTACATTATAGAATTTATAAAAATTTTGTAATTTAGGTTTTAATCGAAGAATTTATAAAAAATTATGTAATTAATTTAGCTTTTACTCTAATAATAATTACAATGTTGTCACGTCTCCGAATATAAATTATACAACAATAATTTCAACAGTGAGAATGGACAAGGATAAATAACTTCGCAATCACTTTTTGTTCGATATGCAATATCATAGCAGTCATAATCGTCAGCATCCTCGAAATTCCTAAAATATACAACATTTTTAATAATAAAACTAGAAACAAAATATCTCAATTTTGTTACTACAGCAAATTTGTTATCAAACATAATTGTAATATTATGATATAGTAAATTTTTAATGTAGCAATAAAACTAAAAAATAATATTTTTAGATTATTTTATGAAAAATGCTAATTTAAAATTGATATTAACCATATATTTTAATTACTATAAAAGAATATCTATTTATTATAAAAAGTTTGAAATATATTTTTACCTTAAAATAATTCGGATAGCATCCTCGATAATTGAGAATCCCGGAGGACTTAGCACCGTTTCAGCTTCGCAAATTGTACGAAGAATACATAATCGTCCCGGTAAGTTTTGACTAAAATAGATACATCGATACTAATTAATTAAATCCAACCTACATCCGCGGTATAAACGGAGTTTCTAGGATGATTATCTATAATTATCTGTCTGTTTAGTAAAAAACACATTTAAAATGCATAAATTCAATACAATTTAATGATAAAATTAATATTTTAATATTTATCAGAAGATTGCAGTTACTTTTTTCTTGTCTTTTGTCTTGTTGAAATATGATACTTCAATGTGGGAAGATATTGAGATAATAGAAATATTTATATTAATTAATTGACTATTTACACCTAATTTTTTTTACATGTTTAATAAAACTTACATTTTTTACATTTACACATTTATATTTAGTTTATCAACTTAAAAAACGTAATGCTTTTAACGATAATTTCTTCATTACCTATTCAATGCCATTTCGAAATTGGCATAAAGCTCTCGTCGATGTCGACGTTTTATCTTGGATGGTTTTTTAATTAGAGTTTTTCTCAAATCTGCCTGACTAGGTATAGGCCATATCATATCGAATTCCAAATCAAGATTCCAGTTACTGGGTTCAGTAATCTGAATTGACTTGAGCAGAGTCAAAGTCATCTAAAAAGGCAATTGCATATGTACATCATCAAAATTAATTTTAAAAAATTGGTATAATTTTTATAATGAAATTAAAAATTAAGAAATAATGATTTATAAAAAAGTATCTCAAAAAGTGTTTTCTTGTTTTAAATTCACATAATTATAATTGGTTATTTTATGTATTTTGCCAATAAGTTATTTCATAGGGTACAATCACTTATTGAAGCAAAAAAAATTACATATCTCATAGATTTGCATACTCAGCAACTGAACGGTGATTTAAACAAAAAGTATTTGCCTTCGAGATGTTTTCTCATGAAAGCATTTATCGCGTAAGCGGTACCATCTGTCTAACCGATCTCTTTCGACCCCTGTAGAGCAAATAGTAACGCCCTCATAAGAGTCTGATATAGCAAAAAGTGATCCGTGCTGACAGCGGGTTGTCTGACTCACCACGAAAGCACTCCCCTTTGGAAAAGTGAGTTCCCGTCTACGTCTAGGTAAAATCTCTCTTGACCTTTGGCCAGCGGCACTTAAGTTGGTGTCATTACGGTAACATACCGTCTCTCCCAGGAGCAACAACGGGTCTAGGATCACAGCGAGAATCGGAACGAGCCATGGGGCTCTCATTTCTCGGAATTACCGGGCGAAATCAGTCCCCTTTCGCGCACGGGACTCTGTAACCTCCCGGGAGGTCACGAGATGGAAAGCATTTTCAGAAAACCCGGGAACATCCTTCGCGGTTACGTCGAAATATTACACTTACATTGCGCGAGCGGAAGCGACTCGCCATGGGACGGTGACGCGATGGCGTCGCAATGTTCATATTTGCGCCGCGAATTATCGCGTCTACCTTAATCCAGGTCGAGAGATAATCTAATTGTCGACGTGCGGACGCCAAACAAATATTTAGATGTAAAATCACACCGTTAATTGCAATCAATTCTTTAATTAAATTCCGCAATAAATGTAACATCTGTAATTATAATTCTGTGTTAGACTTTACGCATTTTATTTTTCTCTCTTCTAGAGATGTATGTATATATAAAGACCACATACAGAATTTGTTATTATTTCACAAATATAAAATTATTCTTAAAGCATAATGTATTCATCATAAACGTGGGTTAAATTTTTCAGTCGTACACGCAACCTTACGCGGAGCACTGCTCTTGCGGTGGCAATAAAGTACATAGCTCTATCTAGTATATGGACTACATATACTTTTGCTCCGGCATATTTTACGTTGCGGTAAGATATCTTTGCAGTGACAACGCAGAATAAATTTTAGTCTTTGTCAAGTTTTAATATCTCACAGTACACAGTACACTAAAATATGTAAAGTATTTTAATATAAAAGCGCGAATATTTTATATGAGTTAAAAATAAAATTATAATTGTCAAAATAATGCAAACAATGTAAAATATTAGAATAGATATCAAGGCAACGTAGAATTTGCAATTAGATATTTTGCTACGATCTTAAAAACTTTATATAATTTACGTCTTTGCAAATTGATACTGATTTTCGCGCGTCTTTGCATTCATCGGGAGAGAGCTCATTAATTTTTCCTGGTTTCTCGCAGGCCATTAAAATCTGACAAGCTGTCTCCCATTGCGGAGTCCTCTGGCTTTTCCATGCTAATCTTGAAAAATCTCACCAAAAGCTCGACCGTTCTTTATGAGAGGTTCATTGGCTCTCCGTTTTGCTCCCCCTTTTTACCGCAGTCTTCTGCACACTAGCTAGAGAGCCTTTAAATTTCGTAAGTCTCGCGAAATATATTCAGGAACGGACTACCTGTTTTATCCAATCCCAAGGATCCGAGTGCTCTCTGACCATCTTCGCAGCTTCCATCTACGAGGTAATTTCATTTTGGGCTTTCGGATTCCCTTGATCTATTCTCCTCCCTTTTAAATCCATTTTTTTATTCTTTTCGACCGACAACACTGCCAGTTCTATCTTGCTACTCTGTATTCTTACGGAAATTGTGTGATTTATCTAGTACTTAAAATTGAACAATTTTTTTGAAAAAGAGAGAGAGAGCACTTGTGTGGAATACTTATTAATCTCGTTACTATAAAAATCTATAAAAAAAAGGTATACATAAAAAGTAGCGTAATAGAGTGATAACTTTTTACGATTATCACGAGGAATTTTTGACGAGATTCTTGATGTTCTATTATAATGAGTACCTCAAACGTTTATTAGATTTGTTACGAAGCGAGCGAAACGCGTTAAAGTTGCGACGTCGAGTGTGAGTCGGCTATTTCCTCGAAATAACATAATGTCCCTCCGAAGCCCATTTTGAACAAACATTCTAGTCGCCATTAAGGAAACCAGCCGACATGGAGACACTCATCTGTTTATCTTGCAATAATAGGTCATACACGCGGAATAATATACCGCGTGTGTCTCTCGCACATGTGCTCCCGCGGAGTTCCAAGACACACCCGTCCGCTCGTGTGCGACATTACGATCGCATTACGCTGCGCTGCACGTACGGTGACGGTAAGCTAACGTAATACAATTCCCCTTCTGAGAACGTCAGCTGGTAGTCGAGTTTGCATCACATGTCATTAGCGCGAGTCGTCGTCAATTCGCAAATCGCAATCCCTGCAGCTGTCTTCCCCACGATGTCGGTGGCTCACACCGCGGTGTGCCACTGCGGTGGAGTTTATCCGAAACTTTACGCGCGCCGATAACGGCTTTTCGCGAGATCGCATTAAATTGCGGTTTACATATATTGGCAGAACATTAATTTCTCGCGACGCATGTATTAATATCAGATTATCCGAAGAAGTGATTAAAAAGATATTCTCGGTATTTCTGAGATATTTTGAGGGAGTAGCTTTTAGCATCGAAGCTGAAAGTTTATCGTAAAATCTTCAAATAAAATTTACTTTGTTAAATTAATAAAAGAATAGGATTATATTATTTACTTTCGCAAAAAATTGCAAATAATTATATTTAAAATGTTCGAAAAAATGCGTATTTAAAAGTGAATAGACTCCAATGCAAGATGCACAGTAATTTGCACTTTGTCGGAGGACGCTCTTTGTGATACCTGATGCTGAAAGTTCTGTTGTAATCCAAGCAATTTGGTAGTTACGAGGAAATTCCAAGAACGACGTCAACTGCATAATTCGAATTGCTGATGTCATTGTTGCCGACATTGTTGTCGATCTTATCACGTACCGATGGTTACTATTATTCGCTTTTACACCACCATATTTCGCTATTTTCCTCTCAACTAAAAACACAGTAGCTACATGGAACGCCTTAAAAATTACAGTATGTAACTTCGCACTCTGTATAGAAAGAAAAACACACTTACACAAATTAATTTGCAACAATGTTGCGCGCAGGTTTATACGGTCAAAATGCACAGTAAAGTGTAAAGTTTTTATAGTTTGTATTATAAAATACATAAATACAATATTAAATTACAAATACATTTCATTTTATAGAATAACAAGTCATTTTATTAAAAGATTCTAAATAGGTCAGAATCCACTTAAATGTTGTGCTCAAATAATTGACCGTAGTTCTCTGCAAAGAGATACTACTTATTGATAATTTCTCTTTTAATTAATAAAATCAAATAAAATAAATATTTTTTAGCTTTGCAAAAATGTGGAAAATCTAATAATTTAAATATCTCCGAACTTAAATAAATTTTTAACAGTTTAGAATTGCAGAACACAAAATTATTTTAATTTAGAAAGTGCATTATTATAATTCTTATAATTAGTTTCACAAATCTTTTTACAGTAGAAATCGTCAAGTTAAAAAAATGCTAGGGCAAACATTTGAATAATATCTATTATACAATTTGTCTATAAATTCTAAGTTCCGTAATTGCTCAAACACTTCACTAATCTGATTACGGTGAAGAGACGAGAGGGGGAGAGTTCTTCGTGATAGCTGCTCGTTTCGCGACTGTGTAAGATAATCACGCTGATTGCAGCACTTCAGAAGACATCTGGGCACTTGGCGTGCATCTCGTCGCAATTCTCACCCAAGTGGTACGTTCGCTCGTATTCGGTCATCGGATCGATGTCGTACCATCCCGCAGGCAGACTGCAATCATTATTTCTCGTGTCATGCGAACGCCCATATCGACATCCGAGATTCCGATTTATCCAATTTGTAATGCACGTGCATATTGAACGAGATTCGCGATAGAAAAAGACAAGCGTATGTAAGAAATTTAATTTAATTTATTACTCACGTAAATATGGCGTGTAGGATCTCCTCGACGAAGCTCCCTCTCCCGACGTGGTCGTGTTTACGCCTGGCAGCCTTGCAGATCGCTTTGAGCACGCAGGCTTTGCCGTCCTTCTGTTGGCTTTACCGTAGACATAACGTGAGATACCGGGACGACGATTTGGGAGAGATGGGGGAAGGGTAGCGAGAGTCGTTTATCATTATCATCCTAGTTATCGTTGTCGAGCTAGCTCACCAAGAGAAAGAAAGAGAGAGAAAGAGAGAGAGAGAAAGAGAGAGAGACAGCAGTCTATTCATTAGGTTCGCGATAATACCGAGGGGCGCGTTGATATTGCCAAGCGCGAAATGCTCTACTGTAAACGCGGGGGTGGTTTACAATGACCCCTCATGCCCCCGTTGATCCTTGCTAAACAACCGCGCGCCGTCGTTCCCTCCAGTTCCTCCCACCCTTCACCCTAAGCGAACAAATGCCGGCAATTAGGCTATAGCTTCGCACAATTAGAATTAGAGTAACCACCGATTCTGCCATCCCCGGATTATCCCGTGCCTCGACTCTTAGCCGAAACTTTACTGGCTGTGTATGTACGCGCGGCCGTAATCGGCGAGAGTTTACGAGAGCGTTGGCGGGAGAGAATACGCTTCGATCCCGCGCGGGCGGAGGATTGCCATCGTAGCGAGCGGAGTACGTGTCTACCCGACGATCTGCGGGAGTTAAGCAATTGCGGGGGTGATTTATTCGGATCGAGAGGGATTTTCTCCGCATACGTATGTATAAGCGTGATCGACGGGCCGGAAGTGCCCGCTTTATATCCTGAACCTGGTTGGAGTAATGAATCCTTTTGTGCGTTTTAATCCGTCAAGATCTAAATAGTCAAATCTGTCGAGAACAGATCCTGCGAAGCGTCCGCGGAAAATACGGCAGAATCGATGCAAAATTTGATATGAATATATTGCTGAAATTCTGGCGAGAATTTAATTGGGTCCGCCGGTATGCTTGGCTTCTCAAATTTTTGTATATCTTCCGCGCGAGTACCACTTCGTCAACGGCGATGACATCACCGACCGGATGACGAATGAAATACAATCTCGCGCAATCAAAATGAATAACGGTCGTTTTTATTCCCGCGGATTACTCGACGAGGATGCCTTAAGACGCTCGCGTACGGCGCGCTAAGCTGCGCAATTCCACGGCGGACTGGCTATCCATGAAGCTTCAAGCGATGGAGCGCGACGCAGAATAAAGTATTGCGCCGTACGTGGTATCGTCCGAGTAATGCCGCGCAATTTTTTCACGTAGTCGAGCGTCAAACAACAACGGTCCCATATTTCTTCGCGGCGTATGCATACCGCGGCGTAACGAAATAAAAGACATCGAGCTAACAATGCACCTTTCATTTATTATTCTATTTTTTTCCCGAATCAACGGTACAGAAATACGTCGGAATATAAACTGGTTTTGAGGCGGCTCCATCACTTACACGAGTATTATTCGCGGTTGTCACAACAACTGATTTATTTGTATGAAACGCCATTGGCCGAGCGCTACAACGTGAAATATATCGAAAATCCGATTAAATCCGAGAAATTACATTAAAATACACGCTAGCGTTCGAATAGAATTGCCGGCCGCTTCAATCACGGTGCGAATATAACTGCTTTTAATAGCCCCCGGGGAGCAAATTGTTTCCGCCGAACATCCGATAAGCCTCTGTGCGCCAGCGATCGTTCTCCGCAACGTCTCGATCGCACAATCTCGATGCCGTACACGCGTCGATCGCAACATTCGTCGCATCGCGTTGCACGCTGTACAAAAACCGATTCAATTAACTTTTTTTTGCGTCTGCATCCTTCCGAGAGTAATTCTACATTAGAAGAACGCGAGCGTGGTGGAAACTTTTGTGGCACCCGTCGGCATTAATCCCATTTTCACCATGCAAACAGCCGTGCTTGAAACAGCACGTAATGATCGTCGTGAGAAGTCTCTTAATCCGCGCGTTTAATATGCCCGCAAGCACGACCGCGCGTCTGGCGAAGCATTCGAAACGCAGCCGGCGAATGGCATTACGTCGTTCGTCATACTTAAATTATCGTCATTTCTTCGGGCCCATTTTCCGGACTCGAGCGGTGAAAGTGCACCGTTTAATTTACTCGTCGCTCGAACGAACGTTTCAGAGCGTTTCCCTGCCGCTCTATCGGCCGTGAAATTCATTCCTCGCACGTGTTTTGCAGCCGCCCGGGGTTTTAGTTGGCTGTTCCGGATAATTTTATGACAGTCGCAAAACTTTTACGCATTTTTAAGCGAGTGCCGAAGAGTGAGCGGGAACTGAACAAGAATACATCGATACTAATTAATGGAATAGCTTGAAGTGATACTAAACTCCGTGAAAAGAAGGACGTTAAATCGAACGTCTTTAAACTTCGGGCTTTGCGATTTGTTTTAAATCAATTGCCATTAAACGAGAAAAGTCGTACTTTCGAGAATAGAAACATTTCCTCTTCACGTAGATAAAGAAGTAGTTTTTCAATAATAGTTCACGTCTATTCTCTTCGTATTGGAAAGCAGCGAACTTGTTCGACAAGTTGTTGAAACAAAAATCTCGCCAATATAAGTCTCACCACTTCGTTCGCGTTCAATACAATTACCATTTTCCATCAGGATTTTTCGTGGAAGAAAGTAAATCTTATCAGTAGAGGAAAATAAAATAGAGTCAGACGCAAATAGAGCGAAAGACACAATGATTAAATATTTGATTTTCTCGATGAATAAAATATCACGGTAATAATGATTCAGATTTTTCTCATTATATGCTAAAAATATTAATATTTGCACAATTTTTATTATCAACATAATTTATGTAATGTCCTGGGGCGATGTAATAATTGATAATTTATACAAGATAACTAAAAGAAAGAAATATGAATGTTTTTTATCTTTATTCTTTTTATCTATCTTATCTATCTTTTCTATCTATCTCTCTTACTCACGTTTTTAGCATCAGCTCCACTTTACGATATAGCTCTCTTCTGCTTCGACGATGATAAACCTCGGCCGGCTTTCTGTAAGGCACGGTATTTCTATGGGGTAGTTCCCACGCCAGTCCGGCGGTAACACCAACGGCGAAAATTCCTTGAGGCTTCGTGTACGTGCTCATAGTTAGACAGTAGACGAGCTGAATAATAGCAGTGAACGAGTAACAAAAAATTCAAGAAAAATTAATTTTTATTAAGTCAAGAATTAATATCTATTATTGATTCCAATAACAATTAGTGCTAGTTAACTAATGTATCTTTGTGTGTGTAATCAATTATTTTAATTCAGAACATTTCTTTAAATTAGATAATTATAAAATTTTTTAAAACCAAAAATAAAATTAATTATTTGTATTATTTATATCATAAATTAATTATTTTATAGTTCTACAATTATTTGTAGAAGAATTACTAGTAGAAGTATGTTGTATGCAGTATATTTGACCATAAAATTAATTGAAGGAAAGACACCAAAACCGACATACCATTTTGTTTTTAAAAAATATTTTTTAACTAAAAATTCTAAATAAAAATGTGCATAAAAAAATGTTTATTAAAAATTTATGTGCATAGATATATATTAGAAATTCCCTTATCAAATGGTATCATATTTTTTATAATAGTGTTCATAACTTCAAGAAAAAATATTTTTGTAAGAAAATTGAGCTCTAAGAAATTGAGTCCCGGCATATCTATTAAAAATTATATAATTGGTTAGAAAACACTGCAAAAAAATTGTTGAATGATACAATAGATTATTGAATAACACAAATTTATTGGAAATTGTAATTTATTACATCTTATATTAGAAAGATACAAACAGATATAGAGAAGACATGATATTGCAAATTTAGTATTATGATACATAAATATTATTTCGTAATATCTGTATGAAAATAAAATATATAGTAATTTTTTATAAAAATAAAGATTAAAATAAAAATTAAATATAATATAATAAAAAATAAAATAAAAATATAAAAATAAAGATATTTTTAAACTTATGGTATGGTATTGGTCGTATCGCTCATCACAGGATGTGCCGGTATCCAATATATGAACTATGAATTTTTAATGAGTTGACCAACTAAACAAATCACGTTCATATTATTTTTGATAAAATACAATATTTTATTTCTAAGAAATAGAGCCACTTTAGGAGATTTATGTCACTTTCGGCACTTTTCTTCTACTTACTTGTACTATGCATTAATATTCTTTCTTTTGACGAAGTTTAGTATTACTCCGAGTTATCGTGCTAATTAATATCCCTTTAAACGTTACGCATAAAACAAATTCTGCTTCATTTAATATATGAAACTTTCTCAGCTAAGTATGTTATATCAAGAATTTATGCTGTGCCATAGTATACAACTTTTCGCAATGAAACTTATACCGAACTTATATCGACCTGTCTGCATTTTGCACGAAAGCACAAAAATATGAATATTATGATTTTATTTCACAATAACGGTTTCCGAATCTAACGTAAGTGTAACAGGTGTGTTCACATTCTTCTATATTTTCGAAGTTTGCGCATTGTAAACTCACAAACATAAATTTGATACGAAGAAAAAAAACCTAATTGCTATTTTAAAGAACGAATTTTTTTTTATTATGATATAGTTTGTGTAGAGTAAAAGTTTATCTTACTTGGACGTTGCTGCCTTGAGGGAATATCAGATACTTAGTAGCAACTTCTCTCTCAGACCTCACAAGCGAGTCGTTCAGGAACGTCATCGACTTTGTCGATCCTCCGAAGCGGGGCACGAAAACACCGAGCAAGGCGAAATAGCGGAAATAATTAATCAACATCGCGGTACGAGAATTTCATGTTTCATCGAGCGAAGCTAAAATCTTAATCTTAACGATAGAATGCTTGGAAGCATGACTGCTACCTGTGTCCGAGAATGAACGCTAATTGCATTTGCATATGACGAAAAGTAACGGTGCATTACGACTGTTTTAACGATGGATAAATATTGATGGGAAAATAAGTTTTAACAATGGATAAAAGAGAAGAAAATAATTTAACTGCAGATTTTGTTCTTGTTTCATTTTTTCTCTGAAAAAAATAAAGAAAATTTACGTATTTTGTGTAAATTTATGTATTATAAAAGTCTTCCATAAATTACTTTGAGCAAAAAACTATAATATTAAAAACGTGAAGAGATTACAATGTAAAAATAAATTAGAATATTATTTTTTACACAAATAAACTATAATGTAATTAGCAAAAATAATTTTTAAATCAACGTTTTTATTAGTTATCGATTAAAATAAATCATAAACTTATTTAATATTAATCTGATTTGAATTAATGTCAAATTAGACAATATTTTTTAAACATATGATATTTTAAGTTACATTTGAGATGACAATATATCAATTCAGTTAATTTACTCGCATTACAATTACTTAACGCTTCGCAGATTATCTACATAATTATTGATAATTTTTCTACATTTTCAAGTTTTACAGTAACCAATCCTCTCTATAATAATTTAATTATCTTTAGGATAAATTTCTGGTTAAAATAACTTGGACAAATTAAACCGAACGTATAGCATATTATCGAATCAGATGCATTCCAACAATTTAATTTAAGCCGTACATTACACGTATCGTAAAATTATATGCATATACGCATGATGTAACAAAAGCAAAATATGCATGTAAAGATAGCTTGCTGGAATATTATTCAGTTCAATCAAAGCAAAAATTTTATTATTGAAAATATTTAATTTATAATTTTTATGACAATAAAGATGAAATGTAATCTTTATGCAGGAATTTTACACGGTGTAACAAGCGCGGAGTAATTATATTAGATAGTTTTCCCTTATTGATGAAATTATAACGGCAAGTCATTCTTGATTGCTTGCTATTGAGCTAATAGTCAACATATAATTATGCAGTAAAATTATTAATTAAATACAAGTAGATGTTTATATTTTCCACTGATTTGTCATGTTTGCAAATGATAAATACCGACAGATGAAATGCGAGCGGTCAGCATGCCATGTAAAATGTGTGCCGAATGTTTCACAGCAAGTGAATATCGATTAGACGTTTGTTACAAACGCGGAGATGTATTTGGCATATTTTATTCCCCATTGAAAAAAGGGAACTAATCGGGATGTTCCGTCGGAGCACTCTACAGAAATGAACCATAAATCGACGAGAGCCTGGCGACCGTTTTATTAATGCAAAACGTCGTGAAATTATTCGAAACCGCGCCAAAATGAATTACACGTTGCGGAAGTAATGTAATGACCGATATAGAATATTCATAGCGCGAGAGCCTCGTGCGAAACTTTCTGAATTTAACCCCCGGAATCGTCGTTGATGTTAAATAATCATTTATCGTCGCCAGTCCTTCAACATATATTTTTATCTTGTTATCAAAAACTGCATGATAATACCGAAGTATTTTGGTCCAAATTGATTGCAAATACAATATTTATATGAAATATTATTAGAACGCGACATTAAGGGAAACGAACAAATTATTATCTTTTATTACATATATAATATATAATCTGCTTTATATTGGATTATATGTTATATATTAATTCAGTGACTAATGCAGCGCAAGCAAAATAATAATCTTAACGATGTATGCTTAATAATATGTCAAATTAAAATTTTAAGTAAAAATTTTACATGCGTAATTAGAATAATAGACGTCTGTAAGTTTAGATGTTGCTTGATTAACACATATTGCAAACTTATTTTTTTTTTAAAAGTAATATTTCAATTAAAAAATGGTGTTTTAATAAAAGTTTGAAATGACAATAAATCAACAATAATTGGTTAATTATTTTTAGCCGTCAGTCCAATTTGTTGCGGAATAACACGCGAAGCCACACGTAATGTCAGGCATAAAAATCGCCGCGAAACGGGCCAGTTGCCAGAAAAACTTCGCTAAAGCTTCGCAGCAAGATTCCCATCAGATTTGTAACGTAGCCGACGTCATGGACACGTATGCATGCCTGCAGTCCGTAGTTTGCGGCGTTTTCTGGACGACGCAATGAGAAGTCGGTCGGCGCTGCAGTTTCAAAAGTCTATGTCGTAAATAGAGTATCGACACGCAGGATATTGCTGTTCGCAGTTTCCGTCCATTTCATACGCGCGATCGTAGTCGCGTTCCTCCGATCGTTCGAATTTAGTACCGTCCTTTGGCAATCTACAGACAGAATTGCACATTGCTGAATAATATTCTCTGAACCTAACTTAACATTTTATTTGGTATTTCAGAAATTATCTTTTATTTCTTAATTAATCAAAGTTGTTTCTTTTCTAATTTTTGAAAGATAAATGTAATATTTTTGATAAAATTGCGCGGTCACACTTACGTAAAAATCACATGGAGGAGTTCCTGAATGAAGGATCCTATGCCTACTTGAGAACGATCTCGTTGGCCTGCTTCGCAAAGTGCTTTCATCACGCAGGATCTACCGTCGAGACCGGTGCTGTCGATAAAGTTTAATTTAAAAGCGTTCTACGGCATAAACTTTAACGACAGCTCAGCTTAAGCGAAAACAATTACGCTTGAAATTATCCCGTTACAATCATAGTTAAAAGTAACTACGTCTTTTGATGCGTACAGCCGCGTGTTCTAAGCCGAGTAGAGCATTGAAAATGAAGATATTACTAAACTCTGCCGAAATTTGTTTTTGCGAATAAAGTTTAATCGTATTTATAAGATAAATTTATCGGTTTTGCTTTAATATACAAATTTTTTATCTTGATTTTGATTTTTTACAATCGATCTATAGTCATTTGATAGTTAAAGACAATACAACTGTTTGTATTTCAAGATTTTCGTACGAAATGTGACGAACTAAACTAAATTTTTCGAATGCTCCAAATTGTTTCGGACATATACAGCCGTGAATACTTTTTTTTTCGTCAATCCAAATGCATGCTGAAAGATTGGAAAAGCCAGCTAAAAATGCAAAATAATGGCACGACACTCACGATTGCAAGAAAGCCTCCATTTTCGGATATACGACGCTTCGGCTTCTACGGTGAAGTAAATTCGATATCTTTGAGTCGACCTTATTCGGAAGTTCCCAGGCTAAGGCAGCTGTCAGTCCCACCACCGAATCACCTTCTCGGCCGTACGCTCCGATAGTCAGACAATACACTAACTGGAAAATACACGGAACATCCACGCGCAAACTCAGTTTTCTACGTAAATTTCACAGACTGCAGGAAGCATCTCGAGCGGAGGCACTTTGCTTTTCTACTTTATTCGTATACCGAAAATTTTCGGGGCGATAAAATTTTGTCTGCCAGCAAAAGTATACAAAACGTCTGCGAAACACTTGGCCGAATTTATGCGACAGCTTGATTTTCTACAGTGCTGTAATGCAATTTTGCTTAAAACAGCTCCACTAACGAACATCCTAAATTGTAGATAGTAAAACATTCCCGAAAATCTCATTTACAATTTGTAGGAATTATTTCAATATGTCATATTGGAATACTAGCTTATATGCAAGTTACGACAAAAAGTATAAATGTTAAAAATAACTTTTTTTAAAGCATTATTTTAATAAATTTACCTGCAAATTACTACCCTGCGGAAAAATCAAGTACCTCTTGGGTCGCGATAAGATTCTGGGCGCACCGTCAATCCCTGTTGTGTTCTCGTGAACGATTATCGAGCCGGTACAAAGAATCAACCAATTTAAATATCCCACAAAAAAAGAAAGCCGATATCTGGCATATTTTTCATGCGAACTGCTAACATTTTCTTGGATTATATGATACGACATCTGCTAGAAACAAGATTATCTTTATAGTCACAGAAAAACGAAACTGTCTTGTATCCAAAATTCAAGACAAATTCTATTATTCAAATTCTGTTATAAACTTACGAAAATTGCGGTATTAAAAAAAAGGAGAAAGAAAAAACAATTCTCAAGCAGTTAAGCCAAGTTTTCGTATTGTGCAAATTAGTAATAAAAATCACGAAACGGTAAAACTGAGAGCACGTGACATAAATGTAGATGAGATTGGACAAACAGTTCGTCGCAGGGAGTCGTCGTTGTACTAACGACCGTGACCAGTGGACGTTGAGTACAAGGATTTGGCAGGCAATTTCCGCTAACGGTTAACAGTGGCCATTGGGTGTTCTAACGCGATTTAATGGCTCGTGTTTGCATCCTGATGATTCCTTGGCCAAATAGAACGAGGGCCTGTTATTTGTATGGTGTGTTATTTATTCTTACACCGTTTAAACATGGTTTCGTGAGACGGAAACGTTACTCTTCCTGTTATTACTGCCCCGATGGTGTGCGATTTCCGCAGCATACTTTTCTGTTTATAGCTCGCTTCTTAACAAGAGAGAGAAATTTATAACGAGCGTAAATATCGTTGCAAAAATGTGTGAAAAGCATTTACTAAGTATTCTAAAATCAGAGTGTGTGTGCACTGAATTAACATACATATACACTACTCACAACAATTAAGGAATCAAGAAAAATTGCTTAAAAAAGGCAATTTTTAAAGCAGTATAACTCCGCGAAAAATTATTAATTTAAAGAAAAGCATTTTAAAGCTTGAAACTTTTTCTCTAAAATATCATTTACGGATTTCATTTATTAAATGCACAATAAATAACTAATATGTGAGCGAAGTAAGTGAAATAAGTTGCAACAACGTTTTGTTTTTTTGGTTTTTAAAAGAAATCTCGGTTATTCTGTAGCAGCGTTGTCCACGATAAAGTTTATTGGTCCCCATTCCTTCGCGCTATGCTCTTTTTTTCTCTGAACGTGCTTACAAAATGACAGTAAACTTTAAGACTGTTTTATGCTGACAAGTTATAGCAATGCGCACATTTAGGTAAGCAAAACTCTTATCTTTTTATACATCAGATAATATTTCTGCAATAGCTTCCGTATCTATATGAATCCCTGTGGTGAAAAGGCGTAATATATATGACAGTGTCATCTCTCAAGCAGTTTTAAACCTGCGATTTTGCATATTTCATGCTGTTAAATATCGTTTTGCAAATGTATACAGCAAACATTGATGTCATCTTTAAATCGAAATACTTTAAATTTTGATATTATCCATCCGGAAGCAATTTAAATATTTTTTCATCTTTTTTTGCAACAGTTTGCATATAAAGATTTGACTGCAAATTGCAAAGCTTCAATTGAAATTGTATGCCTTGTTCGTTAATTTTTCGGCTAAATTACTAAAAATTTGCGTATTTTCCTTTGTAAGTAATAATTTAGCAAGAATTGTGTAAAGTTTTATCTCGATTTATGGTGTGTTTATCAGTCGAGCGTTGCACGAACGTTTCGAACATCAGTGGAAACTTTTACTCTGAAGTAAAATACGAAACCACCGCGGAAATCCCTACAACTCCGCAAATTGTGCTCGCAATTAAGAAAGTGGACAGAAAATCAATAATTAACCTAATCTACCTTTTTAAAGTTCTCAAAGATTATTTGAATACTCTGTTAATTAGTAATTTGAATATTTAATTTGTTGCGGTGCAACATATGTTGAATCAATTAAAATAAAATTATAGAAAAAGGTATACAAAAGCCAGAGCTAGATCTATTTGTCCAATAAAATATATTAATCGATAAGTAACGTTACAGACATTTCGGCACATGTTTTTGCCATTATTATTGCAACAATAAACAGAAACCAGAACGATAATAATAATACATAATAATAATAACCCTGGTAGAAATTCACTCTAGGCCTTATTATGGTCCCGACTAGCTCGTCAGTCACCAACTCGGGCTTGATACTGGCGAATTAGTCGAGGCCACACACGAAATCGTCATAAATGGCTGTACCAGCGCTACAGCAATACTGGGACGACTGGGACTGTGGATTGGCACTATCTAGGCTGCCACTTATTGTTAGACCGTGTTTGTTCTAAACGGATCCTTACTAAATTTATCATGGCTCATCAAGTGTATTATGAAGGCCAATTACAGTCTCTCTTCCGTTTTCGGTTCTAAAACTTTCTTTGTGGTATTTATTATACTCGGTCGAACTGTCTTTTTCACTATAGCATTCACCTTCACCAATATTATTTTGATTATTCTCCGCATTAGATGAAAATTGTGTATTAAAATTATTTGTTGCACTTAATCTATTCATAGCTTTTAAATTCCGTTTGAATTGAATAATTTTCCGATATTTTTGTGCGGTTAATCTACCCGCTAGCAATTTCATACCGCTATTCATATTTGGAAGAAGAAGTGAATAAATTTTTATAAAACGTAGCGGCAATAAATATAGTTATATACAAGACTCTATAATAGTATCTCTGTCAGAAACAGTTTGAGAGGAAAGACTAGCGGACACTATGTGAACATATAAAACATAGCGCCAGACAAAACTCTGGGCCATACCTAAACCCTTCTAATTTTCTTAGATAGGCTATGATTTGGTAAACAAGTAAGGCCCAAACTTTTTTTTTCCTGGCAGCAAAAACTGGTGAACGCTACTGATTAAACATAGCGTCAGACTAAATATCATTCTGGGCCATACTACAGCTCTTCTAAATTTTTTTAGATAGGCTACGTCTTGGCAACAAGTGAGGCCCATACCTTCTGTCTTAGCGTTAAACTGGCAATTTCTACCAGAGATATGTCGAAAACAGAAAAAATTAAAAATAATAAATAATAAAAAGAAAATTTACCTCAATGCACCAACAGTAAAAACTTGACCAATGTAAAAATCAAAAACTTGTAATAACAGAGTTTGAGACAGAAAGATAAGCATTGATATATGTGTAACGGAAGAAAGTTGTAAGGCTAGTGAGAGATGTTAAAGTGACAAATTTATTATAAAACTATAATAAAAACTATAGATTAGATTTACCTAAAATCGCATGTTTTGCTGTATTATCAAGACATCCTACGTTTTCTTGTTGACGTTCTCAACCTTGAGTTCTTGCTGATTGACTAGTAAAAGTACTTTTCGCAAGAGCTTCGCGCTTAAACACACCGTCAAGAAGTCTTCTGGCAAGATGAGATGCTAGAATTGAAGAACCCCTTGCATAATCGTAAATCTTTTTCTTACAAAAAATATTATCTTGAAGTAACACCATCTAAAAGATAATTACAAATGTAATAAATGATAAGAGTAAGAATCAAACACAATTGATAGTATGCTATTAATTTTTATTAATTCAGAAAATAAATTTAAACCTTATTACATGTACATACATAGACATTGGTATGTACATTATCAAACACTCTACTTTTGTGAAAGTCTCTATTATTGCTAATAGGTCTTGCTCGTCAGAGCTGTGAATGAGAAGATTGAGGTCATGAGCTGGATCTTTCTTCCAAGAGCTCGAGATATATCTTAATATCGGAAGGTTCAGGTTTTTATTGCAGGAAACATTATGCGTAGAAACGGAGATTCGACTATTCTATGTTTATTAGTTTATAGATTGATCACTTGTTTAGGCTGCGGAAGATATTAAAATATAAAAGAAAATTTTATATATCTGGAGTAATAAAGATAAGTTTTTGAGGAATAAATGTTGCGGCACATAACAGAGAGCGGTGGAGCTAATGTAACAAACCAACAAGGAAATGGAAAACGAAAGGAAGGAGGAAAAATTGAGAGAGGGGAAAAAACAAATAAGGAAGAGAAAAAAGGGGAGAGCAGGGAGGAAGCACTAAGGATAAGAAAATTTGTCAAGAATAGATTGAATCTTTCGTAACAATAAGTTTTAACGTGATCGCGCAGGTTATCAATGGATTAAAAAATGAATCTAATTTTATTTGTATTTATATTTGTATAATTCATATTTTATTTCCGTATCAAAAATTTCCTCCAACAAATACATGATTAATTCTTTTTTTAACAATTTATATAGTTTATCTTGGCGCGTGTTGTTTTTCTCCAGTTACATATTATTTACGCGTACAAACTGGAATATCATCATAAATATGTGAAATATCAGAATAAATAAGCGCCGCGAGTGTGGAGAGAAATCGTTATTTAATTCCATTTGAGATTTTCCAGTTTATTTCATCGTCATGCCCTTTCATCAACCTTTTATTATCTCCGGCAAACTGCCGCTATCAGCAAACCTCTCGCATACATTTACTGCGGTCGAATCTTTTTGTTCTTCCAACACCCCAGTTCCTGTGTCGCATCGCGGACGTAATATTACTTGCTTGCTTGAATCAAGCCTGACAAAGCCAAGCTAACATGCCATTTTTTTTCCTCGACACGACTCTTATGCCCTCGTTGCGGCAGGAGCGCATAGCGCTGGTACGAGCGTTCGTTAATTGCATACGGGAGTTGCGCGCGTGGCCAGTTTTCTGACAAGAAAACCACAGAGCATTCTACATTAATGCTTTTCGTTAACGCGCGGCCCGCCGGGGCCGCCGGATGCAATTATAACCAGTTCTGTCCCGGAATGTGACAGTCCTGGCCGAGGACGGGCGATGACTGTCCGCTGGGATCGCGCATAGAAACGAGGGCGCACTTTAAGAGGATGCATCGAGGCGCATTTAAACTGCCATCGCGTGCCATTTCGCGATTATCACTCGTTCATCGGAGCAATCGCAGATTGATTTTACACGGGCCGTTGGGTCTCGCTAGTGAACGCAAACGGGGCGTGCCCGTAGGGGATAGATGGAAACGTATTTGCAATGTACATAATGGAAGTTGCCACAATCGCGGCAAATGATTCATTGTGGATCATGTGGGAAAGAAATTTCTTCATCACTTCCCTTATTGACGTCTTAACGAGCGATAAAAACATTTTCCAATTTCTCTGTTTGTGTTTTCTTAGCAGAACTATATAGAATTTTTGCAACATTTTTGTTTTGACAATGAATGCTATTTGCTTCTGCGACTTTTGCATTAGTCTTCACTAGTTGTTGTTGCGAAACAAATAAATTTGGGTCAATTCAGAAAGTTACTGTTTCCTCTAATACTCCGTCTCTTGTACGTAGGTGATATCCAGAAGAATCAAACGAGATCCACTAAGAATCTCCGAGTAATAAAAGTGCTAAGTCTTTCTATTATTCACCTCTATTTAGTGTTTATTCAAAAATAACTATTGGGAAAAAATAAAAATATTTCTAGCTGCTTAAATTTCTGATAATCTAGAGTACGAAGTTAACGATTTGTATCTTCGATAAATTGAAACCTCGGACACTAACATTGACATTTTTGTTTGAACGCAATCTCTGTCGCAAGCGAAACTCGAAATAATTACATCGTGAATTCATTTACGTGCTAATAAAGCAGTTTATTACGATGCTGCATTCATTTGTAACGAAATGGACCGCGTCACGGGACCTACCGTGGCACGACAATGCACAGCAATTAAAAATACGTATCTACAAGAAAAAAAAACATAGATCTCTTTGTCATACAGCTTCATGGAAGTCGTACAAGAAACACAAATACAAACAAAACATTTTATACAAAATTAGATGGGGTATAAAAATATTGATGTCAACTACATGTTACAATTAAGACGTTAATTAAGGTCTTTATATTAAATCTTTATCTCAAATAATCAAAAGCAGGTATTTAAGAAATGGATTGGTAATAAAAATAAAATATTGCTTTAATAAAAAATGTGGATATTTTTAAAAACTTTATTGTTCTTTAAAATAATTTATATAAAATTATCACATCACCCAGACACTATGCCCTTTCAGTCATTAGCATAATTGTAAGCTAGCGACAGGAATTACAGTTTTGACTTCTGAATAATATGTGTTTGCGTTGGCAAATGGCGAACACAAAGTGGAACACTTTTTAATTGCCAGGTAGTCGCACGATAGTCCAAATTAATGCTTTTCGTTGGAACCGGACCAGCGCGGCTCGCGAGCAGCAATTATAATCGTCCTGTCGCGGGATGTGACAAGCGGAGACGAGGGGTGTGAGAAAGAGAGAAAGGAGAAAAACGGGAGGGACAAGAATAATGCACGAAAACGACAAATATTTTTTTCCGCGGTGGCCATTACGAAGACAAATTAATGGCGCTGAGAGCCGTATATAACACCCAGTAGAAATATCCTTTCGTTCTTTTTTTGTAATACGTGCATCCTCTTCCTTCCAGTCTTTAGTTAAACGTATATTTTTACTACATTTAGTCGGCTAACGTACCACCATATTTTACTGCTTGCCATGCCTCGCGGAATAATTCGAATGCGGCTTTGTAACATGACAAATGTTTCAACCGCTGTCATTTTTCATAATGTCGTCTGGTGATAACCATAAGAACAATTACGTAGGAATGAGGTAGGTCTTCAAACGTTTTTGCAACGTCCGTACTTATTTTGATATGAAATATGGAATTTATTATAAAGATCTCTGATTCCGCCGACTGTTCACACATGGTATTTCATATTGCGTTTAAACATAACTGTAATTTCTTCATTCGCTTTTCGAATGATATTGCTTTGTTTTAACACGTACTATTTACAACATTGTTATTAATTACAATAATGTTGAAAATAATTTTGTTTTCTTATCAATTTATATACGTAAAATATGGTTTGGTAATATTTATAACATTATTTTTACAAAAATAATTGTAATAATATATCACTGTATTTACGGCAAACAAATAATTATTTTCTAACTTATTATATATTTTTGATATGTGATAAAAATTTAACAAAATTCATATATATATATAACCAAATTCCATATATGTGTAATACATATTTATCAATATTAGCTCTCTAGAAAACCATTAAACCCGATTAATTGTAAAGGGCAATTCCTGGTATGATGCTCACAGAACAATGGATCTTCATGCCAAGTACTATTATTAATATACGACCTGAAAACAACAACGGCGATTAACACACCGGCCATGTAATTGACATTATTGTTCCGGCACTCACCCTGCGAGCAGCTTCAATATCTTTCCTATAATGCCGTCCTGTCGCTCCGCATATTGTAACGCTTGACAGATATTCTTTAGCACGCAAGAACGACCATTGAAGCCATGACTGAAACATTTATCGCAATTGATCAGTTTATTAAATACCACGTGACAAAATATGCGCTATCAAGATAAAATGAGAGTGCTCATTCTAATTATAAATAAATCATGTTTGATAAAAATAATTATAATACTAAAATAAATGCAAAATATTTCTCAAGTAAGATCAGCAATCAAGTATCTCAATAATATCAAGTGAAGTAATAATGATGACAATTTAATGAATCAATTACAAGCTTAACTGAAATATAAAATTTAAATTTGGACGAAAATTATTACAAAATTTTTACTACAAAGACAGTTAATTATTTTAATTATTGTTTGAAAATCATTGTACAGCTTATTGATATGCCATATATCAAAAAATCGTATTAAACATCTGAATACGTAAGTCAATTTTTTTTGCGCCTAAAAGCTGCAGTCAAAAATTACTGCAGAAGTCGACGTACCGACGGCATTGCACCATTGGCTCTCCGATCCTACTGGGTGGCAAGAATCTTAGGTCAGCCAGCCAGAAATCCACTCTCATTTTAAGCTCCCAACCAACTTCGCCCACCCCCTGCTGTCCCTGCCGACCGCATTCGACACCGGCACTTTGCCGCGGACTTTTCCGCTTCCTCGCGATCGACACCACCCTTGCATTATGCAGCGCGACTATTACAGTATTTATTACCTTTCGTACATGAGCTCGGTGCACTTATGGATGTCAGTGACGGACCGGATGTTCCGTGGTCTGCCGGTGGTAGGTAGTTCCCATGTCGCCTTAAAACCCGCCGCTTGCGCGAAGATCGTTGTGTAAGGGAGAGAGTTTATCTTGTAGTTCAGCCGGTACTGAAAGATCATTTATTTACTGTAAACTTCAGAGAGTTAATTTAGCTCCTAAGTCTTCAACTGCCGGTTAAACAAGCGAATCGAAGTATATGCATAGCGACGTGACTTTTGAATATATCGCTAAGGCTAGAAAGTGGTTTGAAGAATTTTAAAAATATTTTAATATTCTAAAAATAATTTAATATACTAATAATAATTTCACATTTTAATGAAAATTGATGTGAACATTTGTTATTGGAATTGGGTGAAATAAATAATAGGATTATTCGTGATCATTCGATTAATATGACTCGAATATTTTCAACTATGGTCACAATTTAGATTTTAATTTCATCATTATTCGATTATAACCGTGTGAGTGAAATGCCATCGAATAAATTTGACATTTAACCTGTAAAGGACTCCTCCGGGAATGCTACTGAAAGAAGGGACGTGAAATCGCGAGAAGTTGCGCGAAATTTTACCTGCAAATTTCACAGAATCTGAAATCATAACTTTGTATCAAAGGATCGCGGGAATGTATGAAATCGCCGTAATCTCCATGAGAGAACTTTCTGAATTTCCGATTAGCCATTCAATTTTCCTAGGAAGATCGAAATTGCCAGGACGATTTTCGCCTTATCCGAATTACTGTGAGTTATCCCGCTATCTATGTAAAAACAGCACGCTCGTAGCGTTGCTATAATTCTTTTGCACCACGTACAAGCGTATTATTTTTCTCCCCCGCCACGGGGATTTCTTTGCGTGATTTTATCTTTACGCTCACCCGTAAATAACGAGACACTTATCGTAAAATTGCGTCTCTGCAATTCTTGCGAGTTATTCTCTCATTATCTTTGCGAGCAATACAACGAGAGAATCTTCTGCGTTATCAATTGCTAAATAAAGTTCTCGGACAGTAATTTGTTGGATAGTATGTATTCTTAAGTCATTTAGATATAAACTGTGACAGGTCCAGTAGGTTTCATCATAATCTAATGCTGCACAACGCATTTTTATTCTTTCTTATTCATTTAAAAATACGGCACATTTCAAATTAACTATTATTACAAAATTATTAAAGTCGATAGATTTAAAAGGCGTAATTGCAAATATAATATAATTACTCTTATGCAATAACGTAAAATTTAAGGTCTTAGATATCAAACTAGAATATCCCAGATATAGCGTACGCTATATAGAATACAAGCTGAATTATTTAATAAGACTCCTCAACTGGTCACTATTCACTATGTTTACTCTGTGTCTGAATTGCGGCGCTTGATTTCCGGCGTTTTCCTTCTCGCAAGAAACTGCCACGAATAGAAGCGGCAAGGCAGAAACGTGCCGGTTTCGCGGTACCCATTAACAGTATGGATCGCTTGGGTATTTCTCTCGTGTAAATGCGACGGAAGGATGGTGTCGTCTGGATCTGGCAAGTCGTTTGTCAGACGTGCATCCCGCGTCTAACATCCACCTTATACCACGTTGCTGTCACCTCTCTGTTTCTTAGCGGCCGAAAATACCATAAGGCGATCGGATTTATGCGCATACCCTCGCCAGTTCTCTGAGACAAAGTATGTGCACTAGATCGCTGCACACCGCATAATTTTCCAACAATGTCTTACATTGTCTTGCGCAAAACAGAATCGCCAGAAAAAGATAACAGAACATAGCGAATACAATTTTATATACATATTTATTTATGATTTAAAACTTTGAAAAGCTTTGTTCAAGATACAGCATTGAAAGATGCAATAATGACTTATATCTAAAATTTGATTATATGAAATCAAATTATAAGTTTTATTAATTTATAAGTTACAGATGGAATAAATGATTGTCAAATTTTACAACTATTAAATTAATTGATCGGTATTATTTCAAAATTACAGACATTTATTGGTTAAAATAGCAGTTGTAAAAATAAAAGATAGCATTGATATAAATCTTGATATAATCTCTTATTTTAATTATGTTAATTTATAAAATTTTTTTTACATAAAATAAATGTAAAGAATTTTTAAAAATTATAATAGAAGTATTGGAATTTTTCAATATTTTCTACTAATATATTTGTCATAATTATTAAAATACGTACTTGCTGTTTAAAATATAAGACTATAATATTATAATTGCATGATGTACAGCTAAAATTTTTAATTGTTAGTATATGGCAGGTGTGGGGCGTCAAAACAAATGATGTCACTGGCGCCAGTAATACGCCGCACTCCTGTCACCCTCGCGATCCTGCGAGGCGCCATGTTCTGTTGTTCTATTCCTCAAAAAATTTTGCTTTTAATTTTTGAAAATTATATATATATATATAATAAAAATTGGAATAGAAACTTACCATTTTCAAACGCTTCCAAAACCGATCGACGATAAAGCAGCAGAAAAGCTATATGCCCACTCACATCCTCCTCTTCAGCATCACTGAAAATACGTCTCATTTCGACAATTTCACCAGCGTAGATTAAAAGGCGACGATAGGAAGCAAAATATCCCAACCGAAATAACACAGCGAGCACTGCGCTAGAGCACGTCTTCGCAAATTTTGCAAAAACTTCAAAGTTTCATTCATCACTGTCGGATAACGACGATAAATATTTACGCGTTTCGAGCCCGCACAAACTACGGGACAGCAGTAAGCATGTCTCGATGGTTTTTCTCAAATCTTCACCCATTTTTATGCTCTCAAATAATCTCGCGCGACTTCAAGACGCAAAGAAACACGACTCGTGTTGAACGTTGCGTGGAAAATTTAAAAATGCTATTTTTCCAGCCAGAACTAGCCGATTTATACTTTCAGACGGTTTAGAAAAAATCTAAAGACTTGAGATTGTGTATCTTTTACAAAGATTATCGCGTTGGTGTTATCTCTCAGGACCCGTACTTTCAGGACGGTATTCGTATTCTTATATCTAATCTGAGAGTTTGTACGTGATTAAAACGTAGTTTTGAAATCTTTTCTGGGCCTGGGTGTGATATAGATAGATTTATGCAAGATATCGGAAAAATTTCCCATTTACCGTGTTACGTCCTACCAGTAAAAGGGCGGTCGGACCGTAACTACAGTGTATAACTTGCAAGTCAGAATTTAAAGGATCTGACTCTGTGAGCCGAACCGTTTGTTTGTTTCTAGAAACGGGAAGTTGATTTTACTCCGTTTTGCGGAAATATCGTTAATTCGATGGTTCCCTTTTTGTCAGAGATAGCGATCTCAATACCTGGGACGAAACCGTGTGCGATCTTTAAGGAATGAAAGTGACTTGAGATCTTATTGAATTAAATGGACAAATGCATTTACGACATAAAAATATTTAATTTTATATTAAATAAACAAAATACATAATTTCACGTTTTTACAGTGTTTGAGCTGAATAAAAACTTTTGAACTGAATAAAAATATAAATTAAAAGGATTGTTATTGAGTTATAATTCATGTTTAGTATTAATTTACAATTTAGAAAGCTGGACAAAAAATACAAATAAAAACATTTTTATTTTTATTTAGTATAATTATTTAAGGTCTGTTGGAGAATTTTCGAGTTAGGATTTCGAAACGTAGACGGTGGGGAGAGAGAGATGGGAGAATAATTAGGAGGAGATTGGTAGGGGTTATCGTTTGTACTAATACTACTGATATTATTTTTATCTAATAGTGTGCTGTCGTTCCTTTCGGCTAGTTTTTGCAAGCGATGATTTTGTTTATTTCGCGACCAATGCGCAGCCCGACACGATTTTAAGTGGAGGGGAGTCGGTTCTTTCGGCGAGCAGTCGTCTGATTAACTTTTTTTTGTTTAGGGTTATTCACTAAAATTTTCATGTCACAAAATTCAGAGTTATTCAGTATTATTTGGAGACGGAAAAAAAGGGAGAAAGGAGGGAGCGAATAAGTAAAAGAGGGAAGGACAGAAGTTAGAAGCAAGATTCAGAGAGCTCGTAGGCTCGCTTGAATAACGCTCAAGTAGAATAATTGAAACAAGATTCGAAGCGCTGGTAGGCTCGCTCGAATCACATTCAAGAAAGAAATTCGAAACAAGATTCGAAGAGCTGGTAGGCTCGCTCGAATCACGTTCGAGTGGAAGTAGCAGGGAATAGAATATTTATAAGAGGAAAGCAGGAGGATGTGAGGGATGATTAATTTCGAACCCGCCTATGTGATTCCTGTTTTAATTGAATTTTTACAAGAGAGAGAAAGAAAGGGTAAGGATCTAATTAAGAATCTAAATAAGAACACACTGTTCGTTGACTTTCTAGGTGATGATCCAAAATTTTGTCTAAAGATCTAAGATTGGCGCTTTGATTGAGACGAGTCTCGGTGATGAGATACAGTAGTGCACTGTACACACGATTACACTTGCGTTTGATAAGATTGTTTAAGCTCATGGTGCTAAAGCAGTTGTAACTTATGAGTTAGACGAATAGAAATTAAGATAGATAGGATATTTAGTGATTGTAATTGACATTGATATTTTTACAATATCGCTCTCGATGTAACCCTTGATTGGTAGATTTATTAGAATTTTGTTAATAAGATATTTAACACAATTATTGGCGCTACTCGCCATTATGTTTAATTGATTCAAATTTGCGTTCACACAATTAACAATGTTTTCTAGTTTTAGAAAAATAGGTTTTTGCGTCACTATTGCAACGGAGTAAGTTTTTCGAAGTATTTTTTCGTTAAGTACATTTCGAGTTATGAGGCTTGAAAGTAACAGTACCGCCAGCATTAGCATTATGCAAGATGTATCACGTGGAGATTGTCTGATCGGATTTGCACGACGGACTGCATCGACAATTTCAGTGGAAGAGTAATCGTGTAACTTGCCTGTTACAACTCTTCTTTAATCGGAACGGTTAGATCATAAAAATTTCGGTGTAACGTGCTCTTATCGATAAGTACGATGGTAATGGAAGAGTTGTGACATGCGGTCGCAAGTTTAATTGTCCAGTTTAACTGTCTTGCATCTGTCGGGACGATGCCAGATGCGAGATAATTCTATTCTCTAAGA